TTTATATTAATATTTTTTAATACACGTAATTCTTTATCATATACATAATTTTATTTTGTTTTTAATTTAAATAACTATAGTTTAAGCACAATATTTAAAATTAAATTTTACTCACGTGGATGAACATTATTAAACCATACATAGGATAATGAGTAAAAGAAAACTTAGATTTCAGAGAAACTTATTCAAATCAAAATTATTTTGGTCCTGTATACTGATCAGTGTATAGTATATTGGTTATAGAAATTAGATAATTAAATATTATTATATACAGAATAATAAGTAACCAAAAATATAATTAAATTTTAGGAAAATGTAATAGAATCATCAAGATAAAAATTATTTTATCTTTCTACTTATTTTTGGGTGTATTATACATTAGTTAGAAAATATTAGAGAAATGAATATTACTAAACTATATACACAATAATAAGTAATAATAAATAGAAATTAAATTTCAGAGGAACCTATTGAAATTAAAATTATTTTACTTCTGTGTTTATCCTTCAGTAAGTAAAAGATGCCTTAGTCTTCAATAAATAAAAGAAAAATTTGGTCTTAGGAAAATTTGTTGCAATCAAAATTATTTGAATTTTCTATTTATTCTTCAGTCTATAATATATTGTTCATATAAAATAAAAATTATTTTACTATGTAAATATCAGATAAATAAACATTACAAAACTATACGTAGAATAATAAATAAAAGGAAACGTAGGTCTGAGAAAAATTTATTAAAATCAAAAATCAGTTTATATCTGTTTATCCTTCAATGCATAATACATTGCTTAAAGGATAAAATAAATAAATATCACAAAACAATGCATTAAGTAATAAAGAAAAGAAAAATTAATTGCAATCAAAATTATTTTACTATTTAAATATGAAATAAATAATAGTTACAAAGCTATACACAATAATAAAACAAAATATAAATCTAAGAAAAATTTATTAAAACCAAAAATTATTTTATTTTTGTTTACCCTTCAGTGCACAATACGATGCTTACAAAACATAAATATAAATAAATATCACTAAACTATGCAATAAATAATAAGGAAAAGAAAAATTAATTGCAATCAAAATTATTTTACTATTTAAATATGAAATAAATAATAGTTACAAAGCTATACACAATAATAAAACAAAATATAAATCTAAGAAAAATTTATTAAAACCAAAAATTATTTTATTTTTGTTTACCCTTCAGTGCACAATACGATGCTTGCAAAACATAAAATAAATAAATATCACTAAACTATGCATTAAATAATAAAGAAAAGAAAAATTAATTGCAATCAAAATTATTTTACTATTTAAATATGAAATAAATAATAGTTACAAAGCTATACACAATAATAAAACAAAATATAAATCTAAGAAAAATTTATTAAAACCAAAAATTATTTTATTTTTGTTTACCCTTCAGTGTATTATGCATTGAAACAACGAATAACTAAATATTACTAGACTCTACATAAAATAACCAACAATGATTTTAGTACTTATTAGTATTTTATCTCTCGACATACTCTTCGCTGCAAAGTACCATACCTACCACGAAATACCAGTGTTACGCAATCACTTTAACCATTTCCCACGTGACGTGTGCAGTCCGTAAGAACTTACTGCTTCAGCATCGTGGAAAAGTGAGTGCGGGAAGCTTGTAAAGAAATGTCGGAAAAGCATTATTAGAAGCAGAACGCGTTAATCGCATTAGCCAGTAAGGTCTTGCACCGGCGGTGTGCTCACGTAAGCACAGTAATCCTAATCCTACGCGCGTGATTCGTGAATTATTAATCGCACGAGTCACGGGACTTGCCAGCATTTGCATCGGCGAATTTGTTAGTTGGAGACTCGTCTAAATGCAAAGTAAACACATCCACCTGCGATCGGACGCTCGAGCGTCGACTTATACTACTTACGAGCTAATTAGTCAACGTCGTCGTGTCCCATGCAGGATCTTCAGATCTACCGCGTCAGCTTAACAACCGCTATCGATTCCATTTTTATACACGCTTCCATCGTTATCTCTCTTCGTCTATCTGGACATCCAATTTATCTGTCAACGGGGAATATCCTTCTTTCGCCTGTGGAAACGACGTGGCCGCTGTTAATAAATCATCGGCTACAAGGCTGCTAGCTAGATTCTTGGAAGTTCTCCAGCGTCACGTCGTTTCGATTTTTCAGCCTAATCACGCGACGTATGCTTTCGCGTTGTTACCAAAGCACCGCGGGGCAGGCCAGGGTGTGGAAGGGAACGTCGGGGTCAAGTTTGAAAATAAATAGAACAGCTCGTCCACCCCGAGATCCGCGAGGGTGGAAAAACGACGACTCGACTAACTTCTGTGCAATTTTAATTGGCAACGATCACGAAAGTCTGTGCCCAGAAAGAGAACAGAGCCTCGTGGACAGCGCTCATCGATTCAGAAAGGCTTGCAGGACAGACACTGTCCGCCGAGTGGATTGACTCGTGGATCTAATCTCGCTAATAGAGCAATTTCTATACGATTCCAATCCACCCTCATTTGACACGATTCATACGGCCGCGCGCGGTAGCTGCTTTTTCAAACGCCTCCAGCCTTCTGTCAGAGATTCCTTACAAAAAGAGCTACTAGGCTCTGCCATTGTCTAGCACGTCCCAGCTTTTATATTCCACGCGTTAACTCAGCCAGGTGTCTCCGCATAGAGAAGTTCCACCACTGTAATACGCTCGCTGTTTGTTGTTGCTTCGCGATTTTTCTTCTGGATAACTGTCGGAGCGAGCTACGGATTTGAATTATTGGATGTAGGATGCTGCTTTTGTAGGAGGTGTACGGAGTATGTTATTTGTGGGGAAAGAATTGGAAATATTGTAGAGTGTAGTATTAAACATTTGCACTCGAGAGGTGAGCTTTAATCACCATTTTATAACATTTGGAAGATAGATATTAATTAATATGTCAGATTTAACACTTTGCACTCGAGAGGTGAGCTTTAATCACCATTTTATAACATTTGGAAGATAGATATTAATTAATATGTCAGATTTAACCCTTTGCACTCGAGATGTGCCTCTAAGTCACCATTTCATAAAATTTCGAAGCTCGATGTTAATTAGTATATTAAATTTAAAATAATGTAACAGTGTGCGAGGTATCGAAATTGAATAATTCTACGTGTTAATTATTACACGATTTCTTATTTGCTGCTCAAAAACTATCAGCCTTATGGAAGAAAATTTGTCAACTTGTACCCCTCTTTAGCCAAAAAATCGTCGAACGCAAAGGGTTAATGTAATGTAACAGTGTGCAAAGTATCGAAATTAAATAATTCTACAATTCTATTATTGTACAATTCTTTATTTTCTGGCCAAGAAAGTATCGTTAGCTTTTTAGTAGAGAATCATTGATTTTCTACTCTTCTCTGGCCAAAAAATCCTCGAGTGCAAAGGGTTATTATAATAATATTTGTATTAATGAATGCAGGAATTAGTAGTATAAATATAAATTGTAAATTTGTACAATTCTATTATTGTACGATTCTTTATTTACTGCTCAAAAAGGTATCGTCAGTTTTTTAGTAGAGAATTGCTCTTCTCTAGCCAAAAAATCCTCGAGTGCAAAGGGTTATTATGATAATATTTGTATTAATAAATGCAGGAATTAGTAGTATAAATTTAAATTGTGGAATATAACACTGGGTTTCGAACAAAGACTTCGTTATCTGTCGGGAAAAAATTTGAAATAATAACATGGAGTGTAGTACTAATAGAATAATATTGATATTAATAAATGTAGAAATTAGTAGTATAGATTTAAATTATTGGACATAGTGCTATTTTTACCATAGACAGACTTTATTATTTATAATAAAAGAATTTGAAATAATAATGCATTGTGTTGTAACAACAGAACAATATTTTTACCAATAAATGGAGAAATTAGTAGTATAGATTTAAATTATTGAACGTAATACTATTTTTGAGGTATACAGATTTTATTATCTTCAGGAAAAGGAAATTTTAAACAGTAATATACAGTATAGTATTAGTAAAATAATATTTCTACTGTATCATTTGTATCAATGATGAAATTAATAATACAGATTTAAATTATTGGATGTACTGCTATGTTGGAGAGATATAAATCCTATAATTTTAAATAGTATCTATTACAGTATAATATTAATAGAACAAAATTTGCACCAATAAATTAAAATATTTATAATATAAATTTCAATTATTGGATATAATGTTAATTTTAACATACTCAACTCCTTATTATTTATAGTAGAAAAACTAAAATAATAATACATTATAATAGAACAAAATTTGCACCAATAAATTAAAATATTAGTAATGTAAATTTCAATTATTGGATATAATATTAGTTTTAACACACTCAACTTCTTATTATTTATAGGAGAAAGACTAAAATAATAATACACTACAAAGCATTAGTAAATTAAAATTTATACCCATAATTTGAAATTTGGATATCATAGATATAAATTATTAAATGTAGCATCAATTTTAATAATACATTATACAGTATTAATGAAACATTAATATCACAGATATAAATTATAAAATACGCGTACAATTTTAATCTGTACAAATAATTTTTATTATTTGTAGAAGAAGGAGAAACAACATTTTTACCAGTATCAAATATTAAATAGAGTAAAATACCAATAATATAATAAATACCAAAACCTAGTCAGTGCACAATTATAGCACTTTGACAAGAAAGCAATAATTTCAATCAAACAAGTACCAACCTTTACATATTATTAAACCCTAACACTCACTACCCGTCAAACATACTAATCAAGTCTGAAAGACAAAAGAGAAGAAACGAAAAATGCTTATCTTACGTTAAAACGATATTAATTATGACAACACATACTCGAGGGGCAAACGCAGGGAGCGTGCACATTATTTTTAATTCGATATTCTTCACAGCAGCAGCCTCGCGTTACGCGTAAACATTAACGAGAGTCGCACGTGCTTTTTTTAGATACGTGGGTGGTTCGAGGCGAGAGTTGTCAGGGGTGAAAGAACTGGTGACCTCGAGGAGGGTGCAGAAGAGACCCTCGGCAAACGTTGTAAGGTCGGATGGAGGTTGCATCGGGAGCAGTCCAGGAAGCGGCGGCGTCATCGCGGGCGGCCTGCTAGGCGGTTGCAGCGGTGGCAACGACGCCTTAGCAGAGTTAACCATCGAGGACCTGGCATCTATTCCCGCCGGAAATCACACCTCCGCCAATCACACAGGCCATTCCTCTCATCACAAGGTCAGCGAACTTGCTAAATCGATATTTCGTCGCTGGTGTCGTTCATCCTTTAAGCAAAGTCCAAAATAAACGTTACCAAACAGGATAATACTCGAGCCAACTTGTTTCTCCATGTTCTGTATTGATTATTCCTGGGAACAAAGTTTGTCGTTTTAGTGACAGTTTGATAGCATCTGTTTTGTATATTACTTTCATAGATTTTCATTGATGTATCACATGTACACTAACTGACAAAAGTTGAGGAATAAACAGATATACAATAATTTTGTTACATGTCTATAAGTCATAATAGATAATTCTAATGAAAATAATAATAGAGCAATAAGATTTGCAAATTTTGGTATATATTGTATTTTCTGAGATGTATGGATAAAAATTAGAAAATGGCTCTTACAAGATATTTAAAGCAAATTATTATTTACTGTATTAAGATAATTCTAATGAAAATAATAATAGAACAATAAGATTTGCAAATTTTGGTATATATTGTATTTCCTGAGATGTATGGATAAAAATTAGAAAATGGCTTTTGCAAGATATTTAAAGCAAATTATTATTTACTGTATTAATTATCCATTAGAACTAAATTTGTCGTTTTAATGAAAGTTTAGTAGCATGTGATATATGATTTTCTGCCATTTTCGTGCATTACTTTGATATATTTTCATTGGTGTATCACATGTACACTAACTGACAAAAGTTGAGGAATAAACAGTTATACAATAATTTTGTTACATATTTACAAGTCATAATAGATAATTCTAATGAAAGTAATAATAGAATAGTAAGATTTGCAAATTTTTGTATATATTTTATTTCCTGAGATATATGGATAAAAATTGGAATTAGGCTCTTACAAGGTATTTCAATTTTTAAAAAATTATTGATTATTTCCTGCTGTTATAGTCTCTTATTACTTAGGAAGGACAGGAATCTTCTTTTTATTAAAAGATAATAAGAAATGTATCTTAGAAGATAACAAAATATACTTTAAAAACTGACAGGTGATTACTTTGTTTCTTAACTTTTGTTAATGAGTGTACAATGAGGGAATTAATACTATAGAATGTGCTTTATAATTAGAAACATTCTAATAGGTGTATCTACCAAAATTTTTGACATTATCTTCATTATTTCTTAACTTTTGTCAATAAGAATATATGTAATTAGAAAAATAATATTATTCAATGTATTCTATAAATAGAAGTATTGCAGTAGTATTATACAGATAACATTTTCTAACTCTTCTACCAATTTTTCTTTATTTTTTATCATTTCTTACCTTTCCGTATTATAACAATTAATATAATCAACAACTACTTTAACACGTAGTTTAATAACGTTAGTTATCCTTATTGGTAACGTGTCTTTGCTATATTTATCATTATCCATAACTGCATAGTTATTCTAACCTCTCCATATATGGGCTCTCCATATATAGATGCAAATTGATATATCCAATACCAAAGGCAAACAACCTTAAGCATACCTAAATTTCAAAGGCAATTTTAATCTATACCGTTCAAATAATTGCCTGGCATTTGCATCGTTTAAACAGTATCCGCACAAATATTTACGTTACCTGCGATCAAACAGCGATCAACGATAATTGCACTCTCGTGCGAGCGATAGCGCTGCGAGCGCCTAAACGTCGCAGCCTGCTAAACATCATCGCTCATTTTTGAGCGGGGTCTAAAAGTGCGCAGTTCCGCGCATGAATGACACTAATAGCAGCGAGATGGCGCGTCGAGCGCGCTACGCTTTTCTCCCTTTGTTCGCACGCCCCATCATTTTCAATCAAAGTAATCCGGCAGTCGCTTGTTCATTAAACACGCAGCGATAAACACGACGTATCGGTTCAGCCGACATATCAATTAGGTTTTTATTAATCAGTTGACATCGAATTGCACGGTAAACACAGTGGGAAATTAATTAAGCTTAAATCGGGGTTACGGTGGATCGATTCCTTCGGTGCAAACGGTAACAAGCTGTGAAACAATGCGCATTACACAGGCTTTTACGTATATTCGCGTGCATAAATGGAGACACTGAGATAGAATAGGTCTGATTCGGCAGTGATTGCGGTTTCTTCAGTCGAATCGCTCTTATTACGCCGGGCGCGTTCGCATGGTCGACGATGCGAGTGCTACTCCGCGTAATTATTGAAGACACATTACGTTCTATTGCCTAATTATTCAACCAGTGTGTACACGGTCTCGCCAAAACGTAGGCCGATGACGCATAAGCGCGTATGCGAGTCCCAGCGCAAACAATGAAATTACAAAGCGTCTCTGCATGTGCGTCAGCTGTTGCGTCGTGCAGCTGCCATATACCGGGTGGCTTCTTTTACATGTTTCACTCGCGGTCCATTGGGAATCGAATCATCGTTGAAATCGAATTAAACAGCCTTTGTTGCTCTGACGTGTCACTTCTTCGATTTTATGGTTAATTTACCATAAATGGAAAATTTATAATTATTAGTTACAAAAATTTGTATTCTCATTCTTTGCACTCCCATGTGAATTTTCGAAGGCTACCAATCAATTTTTTTTCATATTCCATTAAAATGAAAATATTTTTTGGGAAATATATTACAATTTAATTTGTAGAGAAATTTAGAAAAGTACACAAATTTAATGTGTGCGTAATAATAAAATGTAAAATGGCGACTATATGGCAGAATATGAGTGGAAAAGGTTAATTTTTCTTTTAAAATCCTAATATTGCAAATCAATGTTGAAACACTCGTTTCTTCTATACTTGTAACTATATTGGATATTTAAAAAGATATTTTTATTTATATTTTCTTAAATATTTTTAAAAAATATTGTCTTATTATTATGACTTAGTATCAAAAGGTATAGGATATAATACTGTTTTATTTTTACTCGCTTTGAATTATCTTTTGGTTCCATATTCTCTTTTCTGGTAAGCTTTTCATGGTCTACATGACCGTTTTTAAGCTTTTGATTAAAAATTCGGTATTCAGTGCTTTTGTGTCACTTGACTTTGCAATTCTTCTCCTAATATACATATAATCAGTGTTTCAATGTCATCTTTTATTCCACTTTTTTGAGATCCTTTCATTCTTTCACCCGCCATTTGACTGAGCTTAGTTTAGCGTTGATATATATGTTAGGTTATGTTAAACTGTATTCTGTTCGTGGCTTGGACCTACCTAAATAATCTTTGGCATTATAAATTTTTCGGTAGCAAAATATCTAACGTGGTTAATACATTTTGTACGACTTTGATGGTACTTTTACCATATTTTAGCTTCTAAAATATTCAACAACGTACGTTTTCTCTTCGACGCCATTAGCCACGAAACACTCGGGCGTATAATGCCTATTTCACGCTGGAGGAAGAGAAGCAATATATCCTTTGAATAATAGAACACGTGGATGCTGAAATATTTGAATGGAAGAGCACTGGTAGTGGATACCAGAGATTCATCTATATTTTAAAAATAAGATACCTAATAGAATTAATCTTTTCGTTGTTCAGTAAATTTGAGGCATGTAATCAGAATAATGAATGGGTTACTGAATTTCAAAAAGGGAACAATATTTTTACGTTTTATCACGAGATAATACTATTACACGGAAAACGAAAAAATAAAGCCTTATTCACACGAAAATATTCATCAGACAAACGGTGAGAATCCCAAAAACAACGAAAAGTTAAAAAATTAAAAAAAGATATCAATATTTGTACAGTCTATCATAAACTAATACCATTGCGCGGAAAACGAAAAACTAAAGTCTTATTCACACGAAAACATTCGTCAGACGCACAGCGGGAACGCCAAGAACTACGAAAAAGTTGAGAAATATATTTTTACCCTCTATCAAAACTTAACCCTTTGCACTCGGCGATCTTTTCGTTACAGAATCATAATAATTGGAAGACTTGCTGCCATAAAGTTGACGATGTTTTCAAAACGGTAACTAAGAAGTGCAGATTAATTGTAAGACGTAGAATTATTTTATCTCGATATTCCACGCGTCGTTGACAATTTTAAATTCGAGATATTAACACGTTGACTGCCATTGGGGTCACCGGTGACCGGCACTCGACTTGACGGTGGCGCCACGGGGGCTACCGGTGATCGGCGGCGCGACCATTAGTAAAAATACATAATTAGAGTAAATATCGATACTGATAAATTTTTAACTAGAACCATTGTTACTATAATGGTTCGAAGAAATTAATGCCATACGGAACATGCAAAAATAATTTTATTTATACAAAGAAAAGGTGAACCAAAACAGCCGGCACAATATGTCGCCACTTTTTTAGCGCAATTCTTTGCTCTCATTCTTCCTAGCTGATTTGAATTATTTTCATAGCACACTTTGCAAAATCGCCTTACATTTCGCACACTTCCAGGTTTCTTTTTAAATTCGCGACGACGTTTTTTCTGTACGTAATTGCTCGATGAAATGCAATCTTCGTGATCGGAACATTTCACTAAATACATCGCTAACTTCATCCTAAAATCGGGAATTGAAATATTTTTTCGAGTTGCTTTTTAAACAATCGATAATGGCAAAAATGGTCTACAGCGCCGCGGGGGTCACCGGTGACCCTACCACGAAAAATACATTAAACCCGATTATACAACTCACCTTATCTGTTGTAAATAATATTTCAACATAATATGCATCGCATAATAAAATATTCATGTTGGCGCCATGGGCGAACCACGTAAAATGCGCGTGGCAGTCAACGTGTTAATTAACAATGATCTCTAGAATTTGATTAAATGGCGACTGAGAGTCGCCTCTCGAGTGCAAAGGGTTAATATCGTTACGCGCAAACGAAAAAGCAAAGTTTCATTCACACGGAAACATTGAACCGGCAAACAACGAGAATGCCAGGTTAACCCAACATCGGTATTTCCGTCGGTAAACTGAAACTGAAGCATGCTTACATCAGAGGGGGTCGCATAACGCGTGCATCAAGGCACTGAGCGAATCAAAGTCTCTTTGATCACG